ACCTTTGTTCGTCTCGAGGAAATGTGTAGAAATGTATTCCATCGGATTTTGACGAAATCTTACTCTTGCAATCCTTAAATCGGCAGTATCGATACGCCATTATAAGAAATTTTTAAAAATGGTTCTGAAAAGAGCCTTTTATAATTAAAAAGAACAAATTAATAAGTTATAACTAACACAAGAAATTCACGTTAGCAGCTAACAAGATTTGGGTAGAATCAAACAAATCTGTAGAATATCTGGAATAGAAAACAACCAATGACTGAAAAGAAAAAGAGCATGCGCAATTTTACTGATTGTGTTTCCACATCGCTACCGCTACGAGCGTTGCGGTCGCTTCGAAGCGCGAGTTCTCCCATTAAAGTGTCGACGCTTTACTTACATTCAGCTTTGCTGAGAGTGACCAGTATTTAGTAGTTATGGCGCAAAGGCATCATTTAAATGAAGGACAAAAGTGGCGAACTACTGGTAGAATTGAAGGAGGTCACTCAAGATTTGAATAACCCTCAAAGTATCATATCAAAAGTTTGGACCCGCTTTTTAAGCACATACAACTTACTTTTGTCCATGAAAAATCCCGTTTATGTGATTGGGGTTTAATGGTTTGGGGAGGAAACATGACAAGTGGCTGCACTGAGCTGCCTATCTTTCAGGGATGTTCTATAACTGCTCGGAGATGTAAAGACGAGGTATTTGAACCCCAAGTTAAGACTTTTTAGGAGTGGTGTTGGCCCATAATTTTTGTTGATGGATAACAGTGCTCAGCTTCATCGACCATATGCTTTGGTTGTATGTCACAATACTTGCAAACAGAATATATCACGTAAATGGATTGGCCATCTAACTCCGACTTGACCCTGATTGAGCATTTATGGGATGTCTCAGGGCCTTGAATTACAGCATGTCAAATTCCTCCTCGGACCCTCCAGGAGCTGAAAAGTGCACTTTTAAAAGAATGGTGTGCAATTCCGTAAGTCTTTATCAACAGTTAGGTAAAAGTCTATGGAAATCAAGATATAAGGTATGCATATCTGTTCGAGGTGACCATACACCATATTAAAGTCCCCCCTTTAATTATTTTCCAGTTTCTATAAATTTGGTTTTAAATTTAATATTTTGCAAATAATCAACTGCCAAACATTACATTGTAATTTATGTTAATTAATGCTGTTGTACAAATTTATATTAATATTTAAGTATCAGTTAGGTTTATTTCTGACATTATTCTTTAATTTTGATGATCAGTGTATTTGCTTTATAGAGACTTAAAATGTTAAAAGTCATTCAGCAAAATATAATATTTTTTCCTGGCTGTAATTCATACATGCACCTATTTTTTAGTTAAACAAATATGACATTAAGAAGCATCAACAGCTGAATTTTAAACATATAGCGAAACTTTTCTGGGAACGGTTTTGAAAAGCGATGCATGTTACTTAGAAAAGTGGTGTCAAAGGAAAATTACATGCGAGTCGAATGCACAGTCCAAAAGCAGATGGGCAGAACTTTTTTTTTTTATTTTTATTTTAAACAAAATGAAAAGTTTTAAAACAAAATTTTTTTAAATTAAACATTTTATTTACTAAATAATATTTAGTAATTTTTGATATTGGGAATAAACTGGAATAACTGGAATTGAATAATATTTAGTAATTTTTGAAAATTCCCAGTTTAAATGAGTTTTTCCTCTGACTCCCTTCAGTGTTAAGTTGAACATTCTTTTAACAGTTTATCATTTTCTTCAAGCTCAAGACTTTTTGCATGGCAGTTTGTCTAACTATAAGTTAAGTCTACAACAGATTAAAAGAAATGCTTTTTCGAATGATTTATTCAAATTTCAAAATGTCCGTGTCGAGGTACAGAATGATTGCCCTTTGTTTAGTTCATCTACTATTTCATGGTTACAAGAATAACCAATGGTTCCCTTGGTTTTTCTCTCTGTCTACAGTTACCACTTCCTTTTTATTCAAAGATTTAACCCTTTCACGCCGGGTAGCGCAAACGCGCGCTCATCGCAGAGGCTGGCAGTGTCTTACGTGAGCGTCTGTCCAGGGCTGGGGGCTTTTTTGCTACTAAGCCTAAATCCATGAAATTTCCGAAGTATCAACGCATTGTTTAATAATGCTCTATAGAGTATACTTATATAGAACTTTATAGATATTTTTATACTTTATACTTTAATTACCTTATTTCTTATTTAAATGCATATTTTACACATTTTATTTTCATTACTCACCATTTTATGACTTTAACATTTACATCTGAAAACTAAATATTACTTAAAATTCTCTTTTCATATGAAAAATGAAACAGGAAGCTACACACAGTCCTACGTTACATTCCTTGCACTCGTAATAACTCATTGCCGTTTGGAGGATTTTTTCGGGATGTGAACACCCAAGCATTGTCGTCTCATTTTTTATCAGTCTCTTCTGAACAGAGTTTTGGAAAAATGTCTTTCAGTTATTCGTTCAGAATCAATATCTGAAAATATTTTTCATCATTTCTGCTATTCATGCTCGTTTAAACATTTTTGATGCGTCGACATTGCAACGGTAAAAACTGAAAGAATTCACGTCTAAACAAGATCAATTATTTTCTAAAACTGAATGCAAACCGAAATACCCAACGCTTTAGCGCAAATAAAACTTCTCTACTACAGTAAAAAACCACATGCGAATAAAGTGCGATTTAAGAGATGTCAAAATGGAAACATTTATTTCCCCGTTTGTTTAGAACAAAAACACGTGTAGGAGTCATGCTTCTCTCATTTGAGTAGCAAAGTCGGCTAATGTACATGTATCTGAAACCATATGGACAACAGTGCATCTTGTGTAGGAAATTATCGTTTTTTCAACTTCTAGGACACTGGCACAAATACGTGACAGTCGGTAGTGAACGGGGAAAATGCTCTGGCACGCCCGCGTGTCGGCCGGGAGGTGAGTGTGTTCGTTGCTGGCACGTAGACGTGACAGTCGGCGCGAAGGGGTTAATTGTTTAGAAGCAACAAAGAAAAAACAAAGCTTTGTTGGGGTTTAGAAGCATTTTTTGAACATTTTTATAACCCTCCGAGAATGTAATATATCTACCCCGATTGGAGGATTTTGAAGGTGGAGACCTGAAAAGATGTGATAAAGAAGTTAAATAAAAATATTGGTATCCAATCCGGAAGAACTTAAACCAGTGGTGGTGAACCTTTTTGGGACCATGTGCCCAAAATCTCTTTGATTAAATCCCCTTCAGAGAGCAGTTTGCCATGTTTTGCCAGGCACAGTTAAATTTAAAAGCTGGCCGTTGTTAGATGGTTTGTTTTAGAAAGATAATTGCAAAAAACCAACTTTCTGGTAATTCCTCAATTTCCCTTCAATAAACTCCTTCTGTTCAGCTTCTCCAATTCGACAACAATCTTGAGGTTGGTTTTAAAGTGCCATCTGACACTTTAACATCTGATGTGCGATGCATGACATTTTTCCCCACACAAAATGCATACTGCTTTCCTATTGTGTTCAATAACTCCAAATGATTCTGTCCAGGTCTCTTGAAATGATCTTCCGCTATCAATATTTAATTTTACCTTTTTTGATGGAGTCATTGGTTAAGGTTTAAGACCTGGAGTTGTAGAAAAGCACAAAATTTAAAAACAAAGCATTGAATATAAATTGATGATATATTTAAAGGCGGTAACATTATTAGCCAATAGTAAGAAATTGGGTTTTCATGAATCGATAATTTATGGCTGCAGATTCAAATATGAACAGGGGACAGCAGTAACCGTTAAATCGGACATCTTTTTGCTAAACTTCTAACTTTGGATTTCATATGCTCCTTTTCGGCTTTATTGGGCTTATTTTGGCTGATTGCATGTGAATAAGCCTGGTTTCCCTATTAAGCTTTCATGTTTTACTATATTATTGAATTGCATGTTTTTAAATTATATTTGTACATTCCGTTTAAGATATTAAATTAGAATTATTCATAAGTTACATCAGTGCATAGATTTGAAAACTGGAATCTATTTAATAATGAAAGTATTAAAACTCACCGGTCTGCAATAAATTTGAATTCGTTTAGCAAACATTAGCTGCTTCAACTTTGCCGTATTCTTTGCCATGTAACAAGTAATATGATTGGCCCAAACAATTGAAATGTCATAAATTGGGTCAATAAATATGTATATTATTTATATAGCTATATATTAAAATCTTATATCTAGGCTTAGGCCGTATGTCATTGACATTACATGATAAGCAAGTGAAACGTTCAAGAACTGACTGAAACACTTATTTAAATTACATAGTATTTTATTGTGATTATTGATTAAGGAAGTAATATTTTAGTCATGTGCTGGCTTATGAGGTTCTGCGTGCCGACTGTTGCATGCGCGCCATGGATTCAATCACTGACCTAAACTGTATCATCGACGTCTGAATCAGAATTGCAAAAAAAGAAAATGTTTCAGCTTATCTTCATGAAGGAACTGTCATTCATTTACAATAATAATGAATGACAGTACCCAAATGAATCTGGAACATTCCTCAAATCTCCAGAGATTTGAGTTTGTTAAGAGAGGAATCTCTGCTGCTCTGAAGTCCACCACAGACAAAGATCACTGAAAATGGTGTCTCATAAGTATAGGGATCGTGAGGGGGGAAAGGTGGGAAAATTCTAGTCAAATCTTTTTTTTTTTTTTTTATTGAAACACTGCATATCTGAACAATGTATGACTGCATTGAAATACTTGTCTTTTCCGAGAGCCTCTTAAATGTATTATTATTTGCAGAAAATTATTTCTAATGAAAATATTTTTATGCCAGTTTTAAAACTGATGGGTTAATTCATGTGTTCATGAAATTCCTTATAATTTTTTTTCTGGCTTTGTTAATCTTTATTTATGTCGTTTTCCACAGTTTCTTATTTTAAAAATGTGTTTTTATAAGGAACCTGTAACAGTGGAGCAATATTGTTTTCTGCTGTTAATAATGCATTTTCATATTGTGCAGGAAGCTTTAGATTTTCATCTGGTAGATCATCACGTACGCCTCAGAATGATAGACCTTCATCAAGCACACCTCTGAGTAGTAGATCTCCACGTAGCACTTCTCGTGATTCTGGATTTCATCGAAAACCGAATTTTAGACAGAAAATTACTCCTATCATTAAAACAACTCAGTTTGCAGAGCGATCACCTTTAAAAGATCTTTTAGAATCACCAAGAATGCAAAATCAGGTTTGTATATTTCACTCATTTAATATTTGTTCCAGATTCATTTGGGTACTGTTTTATTGTACAATAAAACAAAACTCATATTACTAACAGTAGTATAAAAGCATGTGTGCTTTCTTCATATGAAAAGGGAAGAACTATGGAAAGGTACGAAGGATAAGGTGAGACCAGAAAAGTAACATCTACAGAATATTCTGAGTGTAGTAATAAAGTATGCGATGTTTTGCTGTATTTCAAATAGATCCTTTTTTAAATACATTTAAATTGTTTATAATGCATTCTTATGATTAAAGACAATTGTACCTTAATGTTCTAATGAAAACTGCTAGTTTGACATTAATGTTTTTTTAAAACGTAATCACTCTTAAGTAATTTTCATAAAACTGTTTTTATCAGAATTTTAAGGCATACATTCTAAAATGGGAAAAGTATGTTATGTTTAATTTTGTAGTTAGTTAATACAAAAATATTTTCTTTCTTAGAGTCTGTTAATATGTAAATAAAATTAGAAGTAAAAAATATAACAGGGAAATAAATAAGGTAAAGATATTTAAAAAACAAAATATATTTTATGTACATAATACACTTTTTTTTTGATAATCTTTAATAAGTCTATATTTCAGGAACGGAATTTGGTCTGTAATTTTTAGCCAGAATTAGCAGCATCTGATATTTCCATCTTTTTTATGGCTGCTATTCTGAGTATGAATTAACATTTTGGTTAATTATGGAATTCAAAGAATGTGGCTGATAATGCAGCCAGGTGAATCATAGCAACTTGCTGATGGCTGTGTGATGTTTAAATACAGTTGCACATAAAAAGCTCTGTTCCTTATAAAGGTAACTTTTCTTCAAAGCTTAAGTTTTATGACCATAAAATCTTTATAATAGATACTTGGGATGAAAGTAATTATAAAAAAATTAAATTTCAAGTTAAGACTAATAACTTGTATATTCAAATATATCTTATAAACTTAATAAACAGAATCTAACATTACTCATGCAGTAATAAAAAAATAATGAAAACGATTAGAATTTTGTGTGTGTGTGTGTGTGTGTTGGTATATCCATCCTCCATCCTTCTTAAATATAAGAAATTATTAAGAGAATTATTTAGACATCATAATCAGTAAAGTTCAGTTGCAGTTAAAATAAAGGAACACAGGATGAAGATAATAATAAATAAATTCACATGAGAATTAACATAAAATATCACATTTCTACTTATCCTGCCAATTTTACATGACAATTAATGTAGTGAGATGAAGTCCTGCAGTAATAACTAATACTAATAACATTCTTGAGGTTTCATCCTCAGTGGTTTTGCAATTATCATTGCAGCTTAAAGTATTTTCAGAAATTGCACTAACCTGTCTATCTGTATCAATAACAGCAGAAAAGTTATTATTCCCTATCTTAACATTTAACTCGAAATTTTACTATTTTATGGGTGAGACTTGATTTTGATAGGAGGGAGGTTGGTGGTTATTTAAGGTGGGATACTGTGAATTTGGATATCTCGAAAGTGGTGCAGACCAGATTTTGAGGGATGTAAGACCTAGTGGTCTTATAGTAGAATATCTTGGATTATTAAAATTTAACAAATATTATCTATTGGTAAAAAGCTAATATAAATTAAAAATTTAATTAAGAAATTTTAGTTGCAAAAATAAAAAATAAAAGATTAATTATTGCTGCAAACTAATTTACAATATTAAATTCTAAGAGCATATGTAATTAAGTGCACATTCTAAAACTATGAAAAGTATAATATTAAAAAAAATTAATCTTAAAATTTTTTAAATTAATTTGTAAGACCAAATTAATTTTTGCATAAGTGAATAATTGTTGGGCAGGCAGGAGACAGACTTAGCAAGGGGAAGTTGCCTCCAAACCTAACTCTTCAATTACTCAATTCGTGTTTCGTCATCCATATAGGCAAGGGTATAATAAAATTAAAAACAGAAAGTTGTGAATTGCTAAAAAAGACATTTAAACTTGTACGAATTTTTAGAAATTTAGCAAGTGAGTGACTAGGAATTAAAATATTAATGAAATGACAAAATAATTAAGACAGAAAACCAATTTTTTAGAAAACCAAAATAATTTAGAAACTCTTCACTATTGAAAACTTCTGCACCAATTATGCATGTAAACATAAAATAAACTATATACAAGCTATCAAAATATAAAAATAATACTAAAAATGATAGTAAATATTTAAATTTAATTTAACTTTACTATATTCTTGTTAAACAATTTAGATAATTAAAATATGGATGAGAATTTTCCCTAGGAAAAGAAAACCTGGGTCCATACTGGCACTTTCTGTTTCTCCAGATGAGTTTCAAGGCAAAATAATTTTTGTGCTAGTGTAATCCAATTTTGTGGGGAAGTTATTTCTTGGATAGGTAATAACATACAGTGTTGCTCTGGTAAATCTTTATTAGACGATTCAATTAGCGTTTGATCTCTTAATTTCAGCACAGATCCTAAGTAAAATTCTTATCTATGTCATTAAATTCATTGTAAGTAACTGACACAAAATCATGAAAGTTACCATATTCAGAATTTGAAAAATAAGTAAGAAATTTCTCTTTTAATAAGTCTGAATTATCTATCTTGACACATTCACGAACATAAAGCTGATTTTCTTTTCCAGAAAAGTTTTAAGCTGTATCGTGTGTCAAAGAATATCACATATTTGTCAATCTCTTAATTCCATCAAATAGCATATAAATTACCTTTTGTCAAAATCAGCAAGTCCTTTGCTTAAAAATTAGAAAAGGATAGTAAACATTATTAACAGATCATAAAACATTAAAACTGTTTACTTTATAGAATGAAAAAATTTTAAACATACATTATTAGCAAAACCTTTTTAAAGAAAATATTAGTAAAATTTTCATTTCATTAATGATAATTTTTATGTTATTTCAAGAACAACAAAATTTTTTATCTTAATTCCTCCCCCCCTTTTTGGGTGTGGGGGGGACCGTCTGATTTTTGCTTTTCCAAAGTTAGTGGGTATAACAGTTGATTGCATATTGAAGCAGTTTTTGTTGCAGGTTATTAACCTTTAGAATTTTCTTTAATAGACCTACGGTTAATGATTCAAAATATGCAAAAAAGCTATGGAAAAATGGGGGGGGAGGTTCTAGGAATTAATGCGAAATAAATATGTTGTACAAGAAGGCTGTGAGGAATATCTCTTATTGCTTGAGGAGGGGAAGAGTAAATGAACTTAATTTCTATTTATTGAGACATATTTCTTTTGTCTTTTATTTTTTCTTCTTTTATTCTTTTGCTTTTCTCAATTCACAATAGAAAATTCCAAAAACAATTCCTTTCTTCTCACATGGACAAGCATATGTAGAATGAAGCTGTTAATAAAGACATAGAGAATTAACAGGTTTGAAAGTTCTGATATATTTGTGTACCATATATCATGTCTCAAAAGTTATCTGGACATCTCAATACTATTATTATTAAATAAATATAATTAGAAAATTTTGTTCTTCTAAATACAGGCAGTTGTTCAGAGTAACAAAAGTCTTTCTAAAAGTCTTTATAAATCTGAAAATTCAAAGGACAGTTACTGAGGGGGGAATTGGTTATCTAAAGAATAACATAATTTTTCTTGAAAAGGAGAACTTCAAATTAAAAAGACACACAACTATGTGGTGCTGTGGCTTTTTTTTTAGCTTTTGATGAGTAATTGTTCTGACATCCTCTTATAAAATCAATATAATAATTGATTTAATGCACTAAAAACGACACAAAGTCATTTTTAACATGACGTTTAATACTACTTTAAATTGCAAGATGTTGGTAGATTGGGATTAAATGACCCAGTTTAGTGCTTACATAAAGATTTTTAAATAAAGACTTTGTAGGTTTTTACTTCCTTGTATGAAGTAAAAAGGAAGTATTGTAATTGCGAAAAGTTTCAGGCAACATATTTCAACGAAAATATCCATTTTGACCGCTATTGAAAGCAATTTAACGATGTTCTTGCTTGATATCTGTACGTAAGAACAGAATAAAAGACTCTTTTCCTCCAAAAAAATTATAAAACTGCTTTAAAATTAATTCTGAAGAGAATTTTTTGCGGCGTCTGTACTAACGTCTGTACGAACATATGTACATACGTATCTCGCATAACTCAAAAACGAGTAGCTTCAGAACGTTGAAATTTTGTATATAGGACTGCTATAACATGTAGATGTGCACTTCGTATTTTGGTTGCAAACGGCTGCACTAAACGTATAAAAATATATTTATATCTATATCCACTCTGTTACCCGGCTCAGTGATCTCAGTTTCTTTACTCTTATATGTTTGTAAATTGTACATTTTTTGCTTTAAAAATGATTGAATTATGTTGTTTTTATCTTCCAGTTAAGGTTTTTATGCCTTTCGTAATTCTGGAAGCAATATTTGTACAATCATCAACAATTTAAAAGCTGTTTAAGTGCGGTAATTTTTAAATAACATGGCGGACATATTTGTTTACATTTGAAACAGCAGAATTGTATTTGTTGCCAATTTAGAGAGACTAAGCTTCGCAACACAAAAATAACGCCTTCGTTTATTATTGCATATTAAATCATGCTTAATCCTTTCTGGAATTTTTTCGAGGAATTAAGTGTTTAAGATTTACTTTGTAATTTTTAATGCAGATATTTTGAGTTTTTGTGTATTTTTGCCTTGTCGCAAAGTGAGAACTGAATTAATTGAATGAGAAATACTAAATCGTCTGTGAAAAACTGTTTCTTTTCTGTTTTGTTTGCTTAATTTCTTTCATACATCGTTTTAGCTTTATTATAGTATTTGAATAGAACATGTGGCAACGATAATTCTTCAAATGATATAAATTTTTTGCATTCAGAGTGTCGTTATAGTAAACAAATATAGAGAATTTTAAAGAGTGCATTTATTCTATTGTGGTTTATGTGCTGCTGACAAAGTAGATTTAATTCAATCCAATCAATTAAAATGAA